TGCCGAGTCGACGCGAGCTGTCTCGAATAGCTGGCCCCACTGCTCGAATCCAAAGTCATGATCCGTTACGGAGCGGTACTGTGGCCGTGGAAGCGGCTCTGATAGGAGCTTCGATACAAACTCAAGTTGGGGGAGTCTGGAACTACACCACGGCACCAGCTTGCGGTCTGAGACAAGGTAAGAATGTCTGAGTATTCCAGCGGTGGGTTGTGGGCGTATTTCGCGCCGACCTTTAAGTTGTGTCGTAGGATGAAGACGTCCAAAATTCGAAGGCCAACCTCAGCAGACACAGATCTGGCCAACAACTTTTTCAACGCGGAGTGAAATCCTTCAAGCTGACTGGTGGAGAGTACTCAGATTTCTGGGCCGCCACCCTCCTTGTAGGTATTATTCTCTACGTACAGGTCCCCTCATTTTATCTGCTCCAGGTTGTTATTCAACGTGCCCATCCATTCGTGATCACTGCAATTGAGGTGTCTGGACGAAACAGAGCCCACAGTTTTTTTATTCGGTTGGGCCTTTTGGGTTGGGAGGGTTGGCCTTCGTTCATGTTCTTAATTGGGTTGTTGCATTGGTTTGGCCAAAGTTTTTTCTCGGTCTTGTCTTTAACTTTTTCAGTGAAGCGCTGAACGACGTGGAAAAGATCTTGGCGAACACCAACACCAGCTCCAAAAACGTCACTAACCATGCTCCGAACCGCATTTGCGTTATCACTTACAACGAACTGCTCTTCGCCACCAGTGTCGGTATGAACAACGCTCTTAACGTGCTCAAATAATGCTCGCGTTTCTTTGTTGTTTTCTGAGCGGGGTAGTCTGCGGCCAATAATTTGTCCAATCTCGTTCTGAAAAAGTTGCAACATCTTTGCGTCCTTCATGCTCTCCCTTTACCTGTGCCTCCAGGCCAAACCTTGAGCCGCTTACAAAACTTTACTGAGTGGTCGATGCGTAGTACCTTCTTAACTTGGAGGCGACGCATCATCACCTCACACACAGAACTCCAAATTTGAGAAATCTGTAACCACGCTGCAGACAGTGTCTCCGGCCCAATTGGGTTTGTTTCGAGCAGTATTGGGCCACAATCGATGGATTCGGTGCCATATACGTCGGATTGCCAAGTTGGTTCTGCCGTACTCGATCAGCAAATAGCGATAGCAACATGTAGTACCGTTTTTCCCGTCTTCTCTTCATATTCTCCACAGTACTAGTAAGACCGTGTGGAGATAGCATGCCTTCCTGCACCAGCTCCATCACCTCCTTTGACAAACCAAATTTCTTCGTCAAAATATAAGGAAAATGTACAAGTAACCGAACCTCGCGCTGTAAGTACGCAGACGACACAGTCGAAAAGAAAATTTTGTTGGCTCCAGTACACTGGTACTTGACATAGAGAAGGTGACACTTTGTATCCACCTCCTCCACCACACGCTGCTTGTATTCTTTTACTCGTGGCGTGCACGTACATCCAGAAATTGTACAGAATGGTTTCATCGATGGCTGGAGACGCTCAGGAACCCACACTAGAATAGGCCAGGAGAAGAGTGTAGACAAAAGGTAGTCACCCCGTACAGCTTCTGGGTATCTCATCACGGGAGGAAAACCCTTTGTTGTCATTGCTTCCTGAACAAGGCGCTTCACTTCCTGCTGCGGCAAGCGGTCTTCTGACGCTGGGGTTGGCTCCATTCTCTGGCTGTGTGTGGACTATTTTACGTAAAAAAAAAAAAACTTTTACATTTTTAAATTTCTTTTTTTTTCGGACGTCGGAGTTCGGAGATTCGGTATCGGATATACCGGGGCCTGTCGGCCCCAGCATATCCTATAAACCCACCATGGGCTACACGGTACACAAATCAGGTTTACAGGTCCTAGCTTTTTTATTTTAAGGTAAACCCTCCATTATTACCGTGGATCACACGATAACAATTCAAGTTACTTTAATTTTTCGTATTTAAGCCACCAGCAATTTGTTTCTTTTTTTGTTTTAGTAAAATGCTGTATTTGTGGCTGTCGGTATTGACGACGGTTTTGGAATACTGTGGCTGACAACTCAGTTAGAAGGCGCATATAGGCTCCGAAGAGCTAGATGGGTGGTCGAGCAAAAGATAGTTGAAAAGTACATAATATTAATTAGCACATACATGATTGAGCCTCGCAGTCCTTGTCGCCGCCGCTAACTGCTTGCCGTCGTGTCCTGCCACCGTCCGCGCGCTTTCCGACATGACGAATGCAAAAGAGTCGGACATCGTACTTATGTGAAAAATTATTTTAAACCAATGATTCTTTTGTAGCATGGTGGGTGAGTAATGTTACGATTTTAAAGAAGTGTAG